CCAGACAGGTCTCGAACCCGCGGGTTCAGGCAATCCACTCACCTCAGCCTCCCAAAGGCGTGGGATTACAGGCTGAGCCCCTGAGCCCGGCTTATTTCTAGATTTGAGAACATTCTGCCCTTTCTGTTACTTATACAATAAGAAAAAATCAGGGAAGTGGTATCGAACATACAGGGTTAGAGATTTGTAGACAGTAGCGAGCAAGTTGAACAAATAGAATGATGAAATCTCTAGTCACAGTTCAGAGTCCATTTAAGGCTGATCGCGATTTAGTGATGCCAATCTGCTCAGTAGGACAATTTTCTGTGACAAGGCACAAGCATGGAGAGAAACATGTAGGTCCACCCAGGGTGTGAGACTTGGCAAAAAGGGGGTATTATGACAGGATTAAGTAGGAGCGTGATTGTAATGATGCACCGTTCAATCCAAGACAGATAAGAAGGGAAGACTGGAGGGGGTTAACGGATGAGATCAAAATAGAGGCTTTCAGCAAATTCGAGATTCTGATAAAGTGAAAGAACGGTTGCGCTATTAATTCCTCAGTAGTCAAACTGAGAGGCTAGCAGGCAGTGTGGTTCGACAGAGGGGTGTTCGAATTACTGATTCGTGACAAAACAGCGTTTCTGGCAAGACCCAGGTTTGACTGGGATTGGGAGGCCGATGTTGGATATATTGTCCACACAGACTCTGAAGTTGTCAAAGAAGATGGTCAGAGGGAGAAAGTAAGACAAGGAGCTGGATACACACATCGGCAGATTATCTCTACCGTGTGGCTACGTGGGTGGCGACCTCTAAGCGGAAGCGTGGGAGAGGCAAGGGCTTTTACAAGAGTTGACGGTGTTCGGCACGTGGCCCCACCTCTGGCCACTAGGAATCAGAATACCAATTCATGTGAGATGGGTCCAGGGGATGCAGCGTTCTCGGGACAACCAGGTCTCTGTCCAAGAACCAGAGAAGTTCAGAGGAAAGCGGACCTAAACGCGGGAATCCCAGAGAAAGACTGGTTTGAAGTTAGGAGACTGGGAAGGAGACTGAGGCAGCACGAAACCCTAATGCGTCTTTGTCCCATATTTACCTCCCTCCCAACCTACGAACCGCGGCAAGCCAACCTCCGCGACCAGAAAACACTCAAAGAGCACCGTCCCTAGCCCGGCTCTTTTTTAACTCCCCGCGGAAGCGCCCACACCGGAACCGTTCGGTGTCCGCACTTTCCCATTGGCTGAAGCTTCCGCCCGCTTTCACCCGCTTCCGCCCACGACTCTCTAGGGCGTCGCCGTTCGTAGCAGTCACTTCCGCCTCGCCCCACCCCTCGCTCCCTTTTTAGCCGCTTCCGGCTCCAGGCCCCGCCCCATTCCCTGTGGCCCCGTCCCCAGCCCCGGGCCGGTCGGCCAGCCCCGCGGCGCCGCTTCCGGTGCGGGCTCCGCCCCGGCTGTGGCCCCCGGCTGCGGAGGAGTCCGGAGCGCAGCTGCCGCGCCGGGGCCTGAGCGGGTGCCTTCTCCGCCACCCAAGGACCCGGAGTACCCTGCTCAGGTAAGCCGCGCGGTGCTGGCGCCCTCAGCCGCGGCCGGAGTGGGCTCCGTGGCAGGTGGAGGAAACGGAGGACTGGAGGGAGGCAGGTGTGTGGAGGAGACGGGGAGGCGCGGCTGGTGGAGGAAGAGTGAGGTTCTGCTGGGAGCACCGAGGCGCCTGGGCCCTTTAGGGCCATTTGAGATAAGACGATGGGAAGGGCGAGGGTAAGGTGGGGTGGGGGCCGACGGGGAAGAGCCAGCGGATTGGCTGGGTGGGCTTGGTGGGGGTAAAAGTGATAGGGCTGAATGGGGGAGGTAGATAGAGAATGGGGGGTGTGTGCTTGAGGGACCCGGGAGGTGGGCTCCAAGGGGCCTGGGGCGAAGGGAATATGGCAACGAAGGTGGGGGAATGGTCGGCAAAGACCGGGGTCAAAGCTGCACAGTCCGTTGCCCCCGCTCGGTGGTCCGGGAACTTTAGGGGAAATGGGGGAGGGGGCCGTGTTGAAGGGATGAAGCGGTTTAGATTTGAGACAAGTTCTCCAAATGCAGGCAGGTGGTATTGCTTTTTTGGCTTCCCGGCCACTTTAGGGACTGGGGCAACGTGGGCTCTTTGTGGGGGGAGGGGATGTGGATTGAGTTGTAGAACTGAGTCATCTCAGTCGTCCCGAGGCCGTGGGACACCTCCCCCTCTGCTGGGGGCAGCATGCGGAGAAGGTGGTGCCACCGGCCAGAAGTAGTCGCTCAGCAGCCGGCGGGACTTGGTGGAAAAATTATTCCGATTGTGATTGATCAGCTCTGATGAACACCGAATTCTTTACTTTATGCTTTTGTTTAATTTTCTTTAAGCCCAAATTGTTCTTTATTTTAAATAAACGCTTTTGTCAACTGGATTTAATGAGGATATAAATCGTTTCGTGTTTTTTTTTTTTTTTAACACTGTAGGAAGAGCTAAAGCAGATTGAAAGTATTGCTGTAAGCTTAACTCACACTTTCTAAAGTGCCAGGAGAGGAAGTAAAGGCAGTAAGAGGCAAATTGGAACTTGAATCTTTCTCAGAGTACAAAAGGCACAAGCAGTGCTCTAAGATAAACAGAACATGAGAATATTTAATCTCTACTTACCTGCCTAATTTTAAATATTGTACCTTTTTTACTCGAACCTATAAAACATTAATAAATTCAAGCAGATTTTATTGCTAGGGATATGATTACGACCCCATGAATTTTTGAAGATGCTAAAGACACTTAGTTTTTTTGTCTTTCTACTCAATCCTGAAACACTGGAACAATGCAAGCAAGTATCAAGTCCCAGCCTATGCGGTTCAGCCTCTTCTTTCAAGTGTTGGCAAAATTGTACAACAGGTTGCAAGTCCTGTTCACCTAAAATTTACCCTTGCACAGAAATCCATTCAGTTATGAAGACTTACTGAGAAAACAACTTGTTTGGTGGGGGTGGGGACCTGCAGAAGAGGGGGAGTTAGAGAAGAAGATGGTGTGAATGGGGGTGTGTTTGGAGACTGATTGGTAAGAATGCAGATAAACCTGCCTCCAGAATGCTTTTGGCCTAAAAGCCTTTTCTTTTTTATTCATCATAGAAAACCATTGTAGAAGTGAATCAGAAAGGGGATGTGAAGAGATTTACTTGGCTGTTTATAAAAAAGAAGAAGCATTAACTTGTTTAGACACTGTTGATATCTGTTTCAAATTAATTAACTTTAAAATCTCCAGAGGAATTCCCCCGTTTGTTTTTGAGTGATGATTGCAATCTGAGACTTTTGCCTCCTTGCGTGCTTCTTTCTTTCATGTTGTTGAAATTGGATTCTTTCTGAGGCTATAATGTCCAGTTAGTATGGCTCAGTCCGCTCGACAAGCAGGCTGGCAGTTTGATCTGGGCAATGTGAAAAGCTTAAGCCCATGAGCAGCTTGCTTGGTCTTGCTCTATTCATGAGAAAAGCTACCCTTCTTTCCTGATAGTTCTGTGTCTAGCTTGGAGGTAATACTTTCCTTCAGTGGGCCTGGGAACATAAGCAATACTCTCTCTTTTCCAGGCAGACCCTTCTTTCTCTATATTGTGGTTTTCATAGTTACAACTTCTGTACACCGCAAACCCAGTTGCCTTTACAGCAATTGACAGATTGTTTGATAATGTAGTGGAGGAGAGGTCAGAACACAAGTTAGCAGACTAGATATTGTCTGGACCTGCATCTTTTAAACCCCTCAGTAGTCTGCCACTACTGAGATTTATCCCGTTTCCCTCTTAGATCTTGTATTTCTTCTTCACATCTTCCTCTAACCACCCCAAAGTCCTCACCACTCATTCATATTAAAACTCAGGTTTGGGAACTTGTGTTTAGTGTTCAGAATTCATGGTCCATTCCTGGAGAAAAGAAAGCCTTTTAATGCATGTTTTACATCGTTGTTTTCCTCCTTCCTTCTTTGTGGTTTCTGTTAATCGCTTAAGGTGTAGACCGTGTGCCTCGTGGGCTGTGCTGAGTTCAGAGCCATGCCACTCTGTGGGTGAAGCCCAAGGCAGCAATGGAGCCCCTGTCACAACAGCAACAGCAGCAGCAGCAGCAGCAGCAGCAGCAGCAGCAGCAGCAGAAGCAGCCGCCTCTGGCACCCCTGCAGATGGATGCCAGAGAGAAGCAGGGCCAGCAGACAAGAGAAACCCAGTTCTTGTATGCCCAGAAGCTGGTCACACAGCCGACACTCCTGTCTGCCACACCTGGGAGGCCTTCTGGCAGCCCTGCGGTGGGTCCCTTAGTCAGAGTTCCACCGGCCACAGCAGTGGCCCGAGTTTTTGAACGGGGCAACGTGAACTCAGAACCTGAGGAAGAAGAAGGAGACTTGGAAGACGAGGATGGAGATGATGACGTTGCAGAAGTGGCTGAGAAAGAAACCCAGGCTGCTTCCAAATATTTTCATGTGCAGAAAGCAGCTCGCCAAGACCCCAGAGTAGCACCCGTGTCCAATCTACTTCCAGCACCAGGGCTCCCACCACACGGACAGCAAATGAAAGATGACCATACCAAAGATGCTTCCAAGGCCCCACCTTCGGTCTCCACGGCAGGGCAGCCGAGCTGGAATCTGGATGAGCAGCTCAAGCAGGTCAGTCTTTCTGGTGTGGGAGGTCATTTGTTCTTCCTAACGGCCGGCGAGAGAGGGGCTCTGGACTGCCAGGGCAAGGGCTGTGCCAGTCGATGCCTTCTCACCCCACTTCAGCGAGCAACAGCCTAGACATGAATTTTTTTCTCACTTAACATTTACTTTCTTAATTAAAGTGATGAACTGTACAAATTCATTTTTTTTCTTTTTTTTTTTTTTTTAAGTTGGAGTCTCATTCTGTTGCCAAGGCTGGAGTGCAGTGGCACGCTGACGGCCACCCCAGCGTCGACTTGCTGGGCTCTGGCCATCCTTCTGCCTCAGCTTTCCAAGTAGCCGGAACTACAGGCATGTGCTACCACACCTGGCTAATTTTTGATTTATTGTAGAGATGAGGTCTTGCCAAGTTGCCTGGGCTGGTCTCAAACCCGTGGGCTCAGGCAATCCATGCACCTCGACCTCAAAGTGCTGGGATTACAGACTGAAATTATTCTTAATGTAGGTTATTTTAAGTTTGATGTGAAAGAATGTCAGTACAATCTTTATTTTTTATCTATTTATTTCTTTGAGTCAGACTCTCACTTTTGCCAGTCTGGAGTGCAGTGGCACAATCATGGCTCACCGCAGCCTTGAACTCCTGGGCTCAGTAACTGGGACTACAAGCACATGCCACCATACCTGTCTAATTTTTTTTTTTAATCTTTTGTAGATGAGGTCTTGCTATGTTGCACAGGCTGGTCTCGAACTCCTAGGCTCAAGCAGTCTTCCTGCTTTAGCCTCCCAGAGTGCTGGGATGACAGGCATGAGCTGTCGCCATGCCCAGCCTCAATCTTCTTCTTTTTTTTAAAGGAAGGATGAGGTTACAACAATGTAGTGTGGAATATCTAAAAATGAGACCTGTGACTAATTATGGTTTTTCTAACAGCAATGTAAAAGCATGTTCTTGCCTAAGACCGTTTCTTAGCTCCAGGCTAACCCATGATTGTGCTCTTTAAAGACAGTCTTTTGTTTTGCAGCTAAACATAGCTGACAAGAAGCGCTTGCATTGTGTGTATTTTCCAACAAAGAGCCTGGTAGACATGATTTCATCTCACCCTTACGTCACCCCCTTTGAAATAGGGAAGGGTAGACCTCAAAATTCCCTTTTTAGCCAAGGAAAGCTGAAGTGACTTCCAAACATGGCTGTACATCAGAGTCAGCTAGGGAACTTTTATTTATTTTTAATTTAATTTAATTTATTGTTTTAGAGACAGGGCCTTGCTCTGTTGTCTAGGCTGGAGTGCAGTGGTGCCATCATAGCTCACTGCAGCCTTGAACTCCTGGGCTCAAGCAATCCTCTCAATTCAACGAGGGAGCTTTTTAAAACTACAGATTGCCAAGTCCTAATTAATTACCTCAGAGGTGTAACCTAGGGGATCTGTGGTCTCAAGCAAGCCTTTAACTTCCAGTTTTTCTCTTTGTGATCCACAGTGCCATTTTTCCTCACTTAAGGAGTAGGAGTGATCATAAGTAATTCCATGTTAAGTGACTTGGAGCTTAGGGAGTTCATGATGAAGCCGGTAGTACCTGAGTACTCCCTATAAGCACACACTCTTTATGTGGTTGTGTTGCTGTTTAGAAATCATTTGTGGAGTATTTCACAGGGCAGCTGAGAAGTCATAGAAGGAAAGCCCTTTGAAACCTGAAAGCCGGGCTCGGTGGCTCAGCCTGTAATCCCGCGCCTTGGGAGGCTAAGGTGAGTGGATTGCCTGAGCCCGCGGGTTCGAGACCCGCCTGGGCAACTTGGCGAGACCTCATCTCTACAAGTAGTTCCAGCTACTTGGAAGGCTGAGGTGGAAGGTTTGCCGGAGCCCCAGTAGGCTCCCGGCCACTGCACTCCAGTCTGGGCGACAGAGTGAGACTCCAACTCAAAAAAGAAAAGAAACCTGAAAAATCAAGCATCTTGGATTGAGGAGCTTGGTGCAGTAGATCTGATTTTATGAGAGCAGTGTGTGCAGCCAGGAGTGGGAGCTACAAATCCCATCCCTTCCATGTGTCGCCTATGTGATCTTTTGGTAGGGCTTTGAATTGCTCGGAGCCTTTACCTTCTCATCTGCGAAGTAAAAAGCGTGAAGGCACCTCCCAGGGATGTTGTGAGAATGAACTAAGCTAGCACATATGAAAAGTCTGTCCACATCAGGCACATGGTGGGGTACAGTGCCCCAAGAACCTTTTTATGCAAACAGTGCTGCCCTTTCCTGTGCCCATACAGACATGATTCTGAGGCAGAAGAGGTACTGAAATGCGCAGAACTACTAGGACTAGAATCAGAGAATCCCAACTTTCCACGACAGCAGCACCCTGGCTGCCAGCCCAGACCCGCCTCCTGCTGATTACTTTGGTTTAGCAAAACATCTGTGAGTTGCCGGCAGCCCCCCCCACCCCCGCACTGCTCTGTGGTTGGCAGAGTGCCATGGCAGCCGCTGAGTCAGCTCTTAGCGGGATCCCGCCCTGACAGCGCTGGGAAAGTTCAGCCCTGAGGCGGCTGGGCTGCCCCCGCCTTGGCAGCAGGCCAGCCTCTGCGTGTGTGCGGTCGTTCCTAGAAAGTACAGCCGCATGCGAGGAACAAGTGGAGCGCCAGAGCCTGTCTGTCTTCAGGAAGTGTAGCAGGTGTTGAGGTCAAGCCATAAGAGCTTTGAAAAAAGAGACTGCAGAACTGGCGTGTGCATGTGTACACGTGTGCACCATGACAGGGCACCCTGTGCCAATTCTAGATGGCAGCAACCCTGTGACTACACAGCTCAGTATTCAGGGGGCTGGCTGTTGGCATTCAAAACCTTTGAGTTCATTTTACATTTCTGAGACATACTAATTATAGACTGCCTGACAGAGCACCTGCCAAAATGTTTTCTACAAACCAGAGTAGCTGAGGGCTAATCTCTTTCCTCAGGATTTGGAGATCAAGAGCTGGGGTGCTGGGCTTTGGGTAGCAGCGACTTAAAATCTTTTTTTTTTTGGAGTTGGGAGTCTCACTCTGTCGCCCAGACTGGAGTGTAGTGGCCGCTCCTGGCCACCGCAGCCTCGACCTGCTGGGCTCCGGCGATCCTTCCACCTCAGCCTTCTGAATAGCCGGAATTACAGGCGCGCGCTACCATGCCCAGCTAATTTTTTGATTTATTGTAGAGATGAGGTCTCGCTGCCCAGGCGGGTCTCGAACCCGTAGGCTCAGGCAATCCACTCACCTCAGCCTCCCAAAGGCACGGAATTACAGACTGAGCCACTGAGCCTGGCTGATTTAAAATCTTAGATGTGTACCTCCTTTTCCCTTTTTGAATTAATTTCTCAAAATCAGTTTGGTGTGTGCTCTCCTTGTCTAAATTGAACTTTTTTTTTGAGTTGGAGTCTCACTCTGTCACCTGGCTACTCAGCTTGTGGGGCTCAGGGGATCCTTCGGCTTCAGCCTCCCAAGTAGCTGGAACTACAAGCACACGCCACCATGTCCAGCTAATTTTTCTTTTCTTTTTCTTTTTTTTTTTTTTTTTTGAGTTAGAGTCTCACTCTGTCACCCAGACTGGAGTGCAGTGGCTGCTCCCAGCCACCGCAGCCTTGACCTGCTGGGCTCCGGTGATCCTTCCCCCTCAGCCTTCCTAGTAGCTGGAACTACAGGCACGCGCTACCACGCCCGGCTAATTTTTTGATTTATTGTAGAGATGAGGTCTCGCCAAGTTGCCCAGGCGGGTCTCGAACCTGTTAATTTTTTGATTTATTATAGGGATGAGATCTTGCCAAGTTGTCCAAGCTGATCTCGAACCCCTAGACTCAGGTAATTCTCTCACCTCTGCATCCCAAAGTGCTGGGATTAGAGGTATGAGCTACTGTGCCCAGCTTAAATCCTGCTTTTAAAGAAGTAAATGGTGTGTTTGAGAATTAAAAAAAAAAATTTTTTAGTGGTGCTTTGAAGGCAGAACTAAAAAAATAATATCCTTGGGGAGAACCTATGGAAACTGTTACAAACCATGTGTTTACCTTTTTAATTGTTAATTCTTTTGGTTCTTTGTTAACCTACAGAGAGCAGGAATAGAGTGTCCTTTGCTCCAGTAACAGTTAGAGACCTATTACAGTTGACAGAGATCTGATTGGTGGTGTGATACAGTGTCCGTCTTGTTCTTTTTTTTTTTTTTTTTTTGAGTTGGAGTCTCACTCAGTTGCCCAGACTGGAGTGCAGTGGCATGCTCCCGGCCACCGCAGCCTCAACTTGCTGGGCTCCAGCGATCCTTCCACCTCAGCCTTCCAAGTAGCAGGAACTACAGGCACGCACTACAATGCCCAGCTAATTTTTTTATATAATATAGAGACGAGGTCTTGCCAAGTTGCCCAGGCAAGTCTCAAACCCACGGGCTCAGGCAGTTCACTCACCTTGGCCTCCCAAAGTACTGGGATTACAGGCTGAGCCACGGAACCTGGCCCATCTTGTTCTTTTTTTTTTTTTGAGTTGGAGTCTCACTCTGTCTCCCAGACTGGAGTTCAGTGGCCGCTCCCAGCCACCGCAGCCTCG